CACTAAAGATACTTCATTGCTTTCTTGTTAGACCAACTCTAGAATATTGCCCCACGTTCTGGTCTCCATATCATAAAACTCACATGCAGCTCATAGAGAAAGTTCAACATAAATTCTTAGTGCTCTAAGAGTATCACAACTATGAGTCTACTGAGAGATTCAATAAGACTAGAATAAGAGATTATACATTATAATTCTTGTCTTAGCCACAAAATTGTTTTCTTAGGCTTTTCCATGTTTTCTTTTAAGGATGCATTCAATAGGTTCCTCTCCTCCTTCAATAGCTATCATTCTCACTCCTAATTTTGTCTTCAGATTTCAATATCCTCCTTCCTGTCTATTAAGAGTAAACCATATAATTCAATAAATTCTATTAATCAACGTTTTTTATTCATTAACTCCTAAGACAATTCCTACGAGGTCTGCTGTTAAAAGAAACGTAAAAGATCGTTCACCTTTACTAACACGCTGTCCACCCACTCGAATTTTCCTCCAGCGTTCAGGCAGTTGTCCTTCTCCACAGCAATCGATAGATCATTCAGCTTTTTGTTGATCAGCGCCAGCTCCTCGTCGTCCTCCGTTCCCATGGCCGACACTAGCTTCGATAATTCCTCGGTTTTACGTAGAAACAGCTTCGTCTCCGTCGACATGTTCGTCCCCATTGTTTTATCATCCCCTGGGTCAGAATAAAGGTTCGATGTGTCGCGGACGGTTCACAGGAAACGGACAATAGCTACTCTAGTTTTCAATCTACACATCTTTTTTTTTCTTTTTATTACACGTTCTATTTGCAACAAATACAAGAATCGAGGAGTTATTGTTTTGATAAACCTTCCATGTCCAACAGTTTAAGAGAATCACTTGAAAATTGTTTTGTTCATAGTTAGAGACAGTGTATGCTTTCTTAACTTAATTTGAATACATGAGGGTCCTAATAAGTTAGGACTTAAAGGATTAGTGCAACGATTTAGAGAGGCTTTAAAATTAATTTCTAAGGACTGAATAGTTTCCTCACTCCTAATTTTTTTCTTCAGATTTTAGTATCCTCCTTCCTGTCTATTAAGTCAACCATATAATTCAATAATTATTGATTTAACTTTATTAAGCTTAAACTTAACTTAAAT